CGCGAGGACAATCTGCTCACGGATGAGCGAGCGGCCGATTGCGAAGGGCCGGTGGGCTCGCGAAGAGACGACCGACGGGATCGGCCGGTCGCGCGAAAATGCCGTCGTTTCGATTTGCCGCGGCACAACGGCGCTTTGCATTCCGCTCGACGGCGTGTCGCCCAATTAATTAGCCCGATGTGTTTCTAATCGGTGTATCGTCGAACCGTTGATCCCACCCCCCGCCCTCTCGCCCGCGCTCCCGATATCGAGTCGCGGATTGCGTTGCGCGTTAACCGCGCGGAGAGCGTTAGTTACGGCTCGCTGCGACTCAATTATTTAATTAATTCAGATGGCGCATTCGTTGCGCACGCAAACGGATCAAACGTTTCGCGCTAGTTTATTTTACGATTTATCGGCCGCTGCGATGTTCTACCCGGCCGTTCGTCCCCCCCCCCCTCCAGGAAAAATTAGGTCCTCCGTACTGTCGGCTGTCGTGCGCGCGCAACGACTGATTTTCCTCCTTCTTTTCCTTCTCCTTCGTGGGTTTCATGACCGAGTTGTATGCAGGACACTCCGTGCCGGTGAAAAGAAAATAGAAGGAAGAGGAAAAGCGATCTTCATTTATCGCGCGACTCCCCCGCGAAGGATCACACCGGTCGCCCCGAAAATAAAACCGGTGTCCTCCCCGCGATCGGCGCGATCCAATTAAATCCGATTAAATCCGCTTCCCGCGAACACCGGCGTCCCGTTATCGATTCGCAACGATTTCGTCGGAGGGTGGCCTCACCCTCGACTTTTTTGATTTCGGTTCTGCGGGCCTTCGTTCCGAGACTTGCGGGGCAACGCTTCGCCGCTTCGAATTAAGGGGTGAGCCGAGAGTACGACGGCCTAACTCCCGGATCGCTCGAGAGAGATGATGAGCAGGGGCTAAGGGTGAGAAAGAGAGATAGGGAAAGGAGGGGGGAGCAAGAGGGACGAATAGACAAGAAGGGACGCGGAATCGGGCTTCTTCTCTCTGCGGTGTTTATTTTTTATTTCTCCAGAGAGAGAGAGAGAGAGAGACGCGCACCCCACGATCCGAAATTCAATAAATATGGCCCCGGCAAATAACAACGGGCGTCGGATACGCTCGATACGTTCTCTCTTGGGTAGCCTCGTTGTCGTCGATGATACGTGATTGTCGATCGTGCGCGACCGACGCGGTGAATTACGCGACGAATCGGCGCTTCCGCCGATGCTTTGTGATTGATATATTCGCGCGAACCGGGGAGTCCAGAGCGGATTTAAGCGCGATAACGAAACCGATCGGGTAAATTGGGGTAAACTCGGGGAGAAACCGAAGGCGTGAGCGTTCCTCCCGCGAGAAGTTGAGACACGAGTCCGGAAACTGGGAGCATCTCGGATGGTGGTTGCATGAATTCGTTCGCGAGTTCTCGAGGAAGTGGGTTAGATCGCGCTGTTGCGGCCCGAGCCGTCGATCGCGCGAAGAGAAGTACAGTCGCGAAGTACAGGGTGAAATAAAGAAGTTTCGCCGGCGTTTCGTCGCGGAGGGCGAAGATAACCGCGGGAATTCTTATCAGCCTCGTGCCGGCGCGAATCGGCGCGAAAGGCGCGCAGATAAATCGAGACGTGAAATTAATATTAACGAGAGAGCACAGTCCGGGAATTAGCACTCCGCCTGCTGCTAATTAAGAAGGAATTTACATTCGCATACTCGGCGTCCCCGTTTCACCACGAGCGCTCCCGTCGTCCCGTGGGTTGCGGCGAGGAGAACCTCGATGAAATTTTCCCGCTGAGAGCGGGGATAGAAAAATCCGGACAGAGAGATGCCGGACGGGGGGGAAAGGCGACGACGACGACGATGTTTCCCGATGAAGTCGGGAACATCCGGGCGTCTCCCGCCCGTGAATTAACGCACGCGAATTAATATCGCCGCGTAAGCACCGGTTAAGAGGGACATTAACACATCTGCTTGGCGAAAACGATCGCTCGCTCGCACGCTCGCTCGTGTGGAAATTTTTAGCGCGCCCCGAGAGCTCGTAAAACGAGGTTCGCGACGTCGCGGGATATCGCAGCGCGCGCCTCTCTTCTCTCTTCTTTTTCCTCGCGAAATGGAATCGTCGGGGAAATGACGACGACGATGAGAGACGACGGAGGAACTCGCAGCCGGTGAAAATGGAGCGAAGGCTGCCGGCCGCGGGCGGAAAAAGAGAAAGAATCGGTTACCGTTAAATCGATATTGCAATCGTAAAGCGATAGATAACAGTTTAATGCGCACACCGCGCAATCTTCTCGCGCGCTTCTCTCTCGCGCCGGCCGCTCCGGTCTGAAAGTAATACGTTGCCCGGAAGTTGCTGCGGGATTAGCCGGCCTGAAAGCGCGAAAACGCTTCTCCGTCGCCGTCGTCGCGCCGTTTAATCTGAACACTCGTAAACACGCTGTTCAGATATTCAGCCGGCTACGAGCGTCGCGCGACTCCCTATCCGGGCATCGCCGGTCTACGGTGTCGACGACCTGGCTCTGAGATTTCATCCGAAACACCGCGATATCCACGATATCGAGTCGAACGAACTCCTCACCGTGAGAAAATGAAGATACGATAGCAATAAGATACCAGTGGTGTCACTTTCGACCGCCCGGCTAGCATCCAAGTGTATACATCCAGGTTATCTTGAGATAATATTATTATTATTGAGCGAGAAGGAATCATTTTACAAGCTGACAAATGTATACACAATACATAGCATAGATCTGAATAATTATGGAATCAATTTCATTATTTATACAAGCCATGTATTTTTTTAGCGTTTACAAACTGAATATCTACCTTAGCGGATATCTGTATTTTATGATCTGGACCATGTCGAATTATTTAGCAAAAGAACACTTTTATACGCATAATTTTGTTAAGGATGACAAAGCGAATTGAAGAAGCTAGCTTTAATTTCAGTGGCCTATTCATTGATCATTTTCCGATTAATATGAAGCGATCAGAATATGTGACCGGCTCGAAATAGAACCGCTGATAATTCACAATTATCGAACAGTTCGAATTCACACCTTCTAGATTCGAAAACGAACTCGAATCGACTTAACGGTAATTCCACTCGAATTTGAACAATTCGCACACTTTTACGAAATATTCTCTTTGGAAAAACCATACAAAAATATTACATTTCCGTCTGAACGCGTAAGAATGAATGAGGATTTACAATTGACCGGCAAAAGGAATTCTCAAAATAGGATCCTATCTAATCTAACTCTTAGGGTGTTGCGAGAAGCATTATAAAATCAATGATGTCAGATCTCACATGAGTCAGCACACTCGAATGATTAAATGCCCGGATCTTTCTATAAAACGTCCCGATTATAAATCTGATCTCGTATGATTATTGATTTTTCCAACGGTAACGAGGAGAAAGAATGGGAATGCACTTCTGTTTCGTAACTAAAAAAGATAAAACCCAATCTCTCGAGACCTATCGGATGCCGCGAAGTATCGAGGCGAACGAATGAAAGATCAAACCCGCCGGACCAGGAGAGGTCTGTTTTTTATCGCTCTGCTAAGTTGCGCAAAGTTGCACTGTCACTTGAAACGAAGCGAGGACATAATTGACACCCGGTGGAAGAGAGAAGACAATAGAAAGATCGCAAGGTAGTTAAGAGGATGCGGCTATGAAGAACAGACCTCGGGATCGACGTCGCCGACCTACTCCCCCGTCACCTCCTCTTCCGTTCCGCGAGCGATTCTAACGCATTGTTAACCGCGCGAGTTGCATTCCGCCGGGGCTTTTAGTACCGCGCATTCTTTCGTGAGCCAATAACTCAGATTTTCGTAGCGTAACGTGGAAATGAATAACATGAAATCCGGCGGAAAAACCGCTCCGAAGCTTAACCAAAGTTTCAGCTCAACCAAAGTTGCGGGTAAATATATATTCGCTCCTCGATGCATATTTTTGTCGGCCGGTTTCATCGGTCTACCTATTGATTACACGTTTAATTCGTCAACCGCAATTAGATATGTCTTACACGAGACCGTAGACACGATAAGATCATAATGCCGCTCACCTGCGCCGCTAACGTCGTTAATTAACACGTCCGCCGGCAGGGTTTGTTTGTTTAATTATTTAGGAAAACCTCCCCACATACCTCTTGTATGACTGTGAAGAATAGATTTAGTTTGGTAACGTGGACATAGGATAAAAAAAAAAGATGCGCGCCGTTACACGTACGCGACGGCTGGTCTCTCGTGAGAGACATCCTTCAGTCACACATGTGCGACTGACGCATCATGCAAAGTACTCAATTTGCCTATTCAATACATTCAACGTGCGCTATATTATATGTACAGCTGCTAAAAATACACCTTAGGCTATAGTGAGCGACTTTCGCCTTGATCGCGGCAGCGAACGCGTTCATTCACGTTGCACCCGGTATCGACGAGGAACGTCAATGCCAACATCGCGCGAGTTGCGTCACATGTGAAAACCATACATTTCGTAAACGGCACGCAGTAACACACTTTGACTTTGAATTTCTACGGTTCTTTCAACGCAGGAGCCAATACAACATAATTCGCAAGTGAAAATAAAGATAACTTTTCCGCGGAAAAACCTTCGATCGATTGCACATCGATAAAAAGGCAAGTTTCGTAAAGAGTACACGACGAGCACACCTCGAGCCGGATTTTTACGACACAGGATTCATCATAATGAAACGCAAGAGTGAAAATGATAATGATCTTCCTCCAGAACCCGTTGAAAAGTTTCGATCGATTGGTCGATCAACGACCACCGGGAGAGATCTGCATTTCGCAGAAACAACGCGCAGTAATACACGCAGAGTGAAAGTTCGACGAATCTCGCAAGACACGAGTCAACATAACAGAACGTAAAAATGAAAAGAACAACATCCCTCGGCAAGTTTCGGTGGATGGAGGAAAGCGTCTCGTTTCTCGCTCTCTCCCGTAAGAACTTACCGAGGGAAAAGAGAGGGAGAAAGAAGGAGATCGCACGAACCTTTGCACTCGTTGGCGTCCCTGGCGGTGGCCCTCGCCCATGGCCGGTCGAAGTGGAAGGGCCGGCAGCGCTCGCAGTCCCTGCCGGCGGTGTTGTGCCGGCACTCGCAGACGACCTCGCCGTCCTTGCCGGGGATGCACCTCGCCGCGTGGCCGTTGCACTTGCACCTGCCGCCCACGGCGAAGTCCGAGACGGCGTAGTGGTGGGCCATCGTGGCGGCGACCGGGCCGCCGGCCGCCAAGACCGCGGCGGCGTTCGCGACGACGGTGGTGGTGGTGGTGGCGGTGACCATGTCCCTGACGACGGCGTCGATCGCCTCGTTGGACTCCTGCGGCGCGATCACCTGATGCACCGACGGCACCGCGGTGACCAGCGGGTCGTGGAGGATCGCGTTCTTCTGGTTCTTCAGCCGCTCCTCGCGCTCGCGCTTCGCGAGCTCCTCCAGGCCGATCCCGGGCGAGTGGTGGTCCTCGGTCAAGGACGAGGCCACCTGCTCCTGGCTGGTGGGCTGCTGCGGCATGTGCAGCCGGTTGAACACCACCCTGATGTCGGTGGCGGTGACCCAGTCCTGCAGCACCGGCGAGTTGTCGAAGTCGTTGGCGGAGGGCCGGCCCTCGAGGGTGCTGAAGGCGATCCTGCCGATCGGGCCGAGGCCGTCCCCGCCGGTGTACCGGTGGCTGTCGGTGCACCGCGCCTCTTGCTCGTTCGACTTGGTGATGGTGGCGCGATTCGGCCGGCCGTAGACGCGCCGGCACTGCGACGAGTAGAACTGGAACGGCTGCCAGGTCTTGCCGTAGTCCATCGACTTGTAGATCGCGATCGAGTCCGGCTTGGCGGCGCGCGGGCAGAACTGCAGGCTGACGTACGTCAGCTCGTACTTCTTGCCGAGGGAGAGGGTGAGGGTGACGTTGTCGGGCGGCGCGGAGAAGCTCTGCGAGCTGACGAGCGGCTCGCTGCGCCAGCACGTCACGTTGTTCGGGTTGTTGAGGTCGGTGAGGTAGCTCGCGGGGAAGCGCCGCCGGGGCGTGCTGTCGTCGCACACGTGGCAGTGCCCGAAGCCGGCGGTGCCGCCGGGCTGCTCGGTCACGTCGCAGTACCGGGTGGGACCGCCGGTGCCGCACGTGGAGGACGCCTCGACGGAGGCGCCGAACGCCGCGTTCACGAAGTCGGGTATGCAGCGCCGCGGCCGGTCCTCGTCGTAGCACGGGTCGCTCGGGTTCTGCTGGCTGGAGAACATCTTCGCGTAGATCTCGCCGCGGGCCTGTCGCACCAGCAGCAGGATCGTCGTCGTCGCGAGGACGAGCCAGCGCGGGCTCCTCCGCTGCGTCGTCATCGTGGGGAACGGCCTTCGAGCGCTGAGCTTCGTCGCCGGCCGGAAGAGGGAGGAAGAGAGAGATGCTCCGTTCACGCCCCCTGCGCCTTCTTCCTTCCGAAAGGAAGGACCGTCCGGGAGAGGGTCCTACAGTCCGCTCCGCGTCCTCATGTCGAGAGCGTTTTTCTCTCGCGCGCGGACCCGCTCACATTATCCCGGGTCTCGTCGTAATCCTCCACACCGCGAGGGATTCCACGTGAAACGGGGGAAGAACTCACTCCCGAGGATAACGAACTTTCACCCTTCGCGGAGAGCCCGAAGTTTGATGAAGTAACGCGTCCCGGGGGAAACCGACGACAAAGGCGAACCCTACCTCGACAGCGGCTCGCCGCTAACTGAAACGCCGTCCTCGCACCGTGCGCATCCGAACTGCTCGCGGCGAGTCCCTCTCCGGTCCGCGGGTCCCCTCCACCCTGAGCGGCCCCCTGTGCGTGGCACCCCCGCTCTCGCCGTCTTCCTCCGACCGACGAACTCCATCTTCTCGCCAATCGGACGGCGCGCCGGCGTGACCCCCACGCGACCCCGCGACGGATCCAGCGCCGGGGGATGCTGCCGATCGCCACCGTCGAGGGTGCGCGTCCTTTTCCTTCTCTCCGCCCGCCTTTCGTCCGCTTTAACCTGTTGGCCCGCTCCGTTGCTTTTTAATTGCGCCAAAGGCGATTAGGCTGGATAACGAGTGTGACCGGTATCGAGTGAGATTGTCTCTCTTTCTCGTAACAGCGATGCTACTTTCTTATTTCACATCACGCGATATCGCACTTCTTTGTTACACGTGGCGCGCCGGAAAGGATTTTACGGGCGAAATGATCCCGTGGATTTTTGCTCCGTCCAATGTTTCGATCGAATTAAAATCTTTTCGTTAAATCTATCTTTCTCTCTCGAGTGTAGGAAAATTCGTCAGGCTTCCGCGCGATACTTGTGCAAGTTCCTCCATAGTTTTGACCGTTACGTTCCGATACTTATCGTTCTGCGAAATCACTCGCCGGAATGTCGCGCGCGACCACTCGAGGGAAGACCGACAGACCTATTCTGACGATTCGTTTTCTGGGAAAAGTCCGCCGACGTAACGATGAAGAGAGAAGACGTCGTTCTATCCCCGCTCCTCACTCTTACCGCGTCCCATTATTAAATTATTCTCCAGCTTTTCTCATTTCGCGCGATTCGCCTCCGCGATCCTCGTGAGACGAAGATCTCCCTACATACACCTTCGAGATTTACACGCGCGCATATTACACGTGTACAACGTCGTGTAACGTCGCTCCGCCGCAGCGTCGTCTTCGCTGACATGCATACGCATGTTAGTTTGTCCTCACCCGTATTACCGTCGCCCACCCTGTACATATTCGGGCATAATATTGTTTGATGTTATCTATTCCCGTTACACGCCGGGATACCTCGCCTCTGTTGATTCATTTGTCTAATGCCTCGCCCGACCGGCTCCGCTTGATTCATCTCGTCCCTCTCGCGAGGACGCTGAAGCAAGGATCATTCACGCGCGTTTTCGCTTCAAGCGGGTAGAGAAAAAATCCCCGAGCGAAATTTCATCGAGCCTCACCTCCTCTCCTCCCGTGATTTTTTCCTCAATCATGCGAGTATCTCGGCGGGTCCGCCGAGCGGGGCTTAAATTTCGATCGGGGATAAAATTCTCCCAAGGCTCGCTCTCTTATTTATTCTTCTCTCAATTAGACCCCCCCCCC